TATATATATATATATATATATATATATATATATATATATATATACACACACACACACACACAGTTATGTTGTTTCTAAATTAAAAATACATTCTGAAATTGCTCTATTTCTATATGGTATAAAAATTATCTCCAAAAACAGCTACTTTGTTTGACTAATTAGTAGTATGATTCAGATACCTATCATTTGGAATTTTTGAAACTACTGTTATATCGCAGAATCCAAATGAGAACGTCCTTTTGCATTGTTTTGCATGTGGGTATGTTCTCTTTCTGGAGATATGAGTGATACCCTTATATTTCCCAGTTTTCATTGATCATTAATGATAATATATGATTTTCATAAGAATAAAGTCTATCAATAAATATTGTTTTTATAATAAGGTCTGCTATGTAAATAAATTGTTTACATGCACATACGATTTATAGTCTATTCATAGTATATACATACATATATATATATAGTAGTGTATAAATACTAAGTTCAAAAATAATTGTGCTATGATTTTGCTGAAAGAATATCAATTGATTCCTTCTGAACTTCCATTAGCATGGATCATTGCTCACTAAGTACATTCAGATTGGAAAATATTCTATTACTGTACTTTGTACTGTTTAATACTGGAACAAAAGTAAATTACACTTTGAGTTTTAAACTGAGCAAGAGCCAAAACAGTTCACTCTATTCCATTGCATGTCCCTCTAAATCATCAGCCAGAATGATGGCTGCACTTCCCATAAAATTTTGCAAGTCTTTCTTATTTCTTTAGACTCATCGAGTTTAGGGTGATGTCCTGAACTTGCATTAAGGGCTAAGAGTGCAAAATTTACACTACGCTTCACGAGTTCATATTATCATGTCCTTTTTCCATCAGGATTCATCTTTTTGATGCTGGCTCTGAAACAGCGAAGAAAGCAGACCTTATTTCCAGATAAGAGTGAAGATTTTAGAGAGAATATATTTTGCTATGATGATGAAGGAGGTGGGGAAGAAGATTCAGAGGCGTTTGATATCGTAGAGCTGAGACGCAGTACTGTCATGAGAGAAAGAAAAACCGGCAGGAGCAAGAGCGCGGAGATCCGGAGCCTGTACAGGCAGTCCCTGCAGGTGGGCCCAGACAGTGCCATATTCCGAAAATTCATCCAGGAGAAGCTGGAAGAAGCTAACACAGATCCATGTGCCCCGCCCTTTGACTCATTACAGACTTTTGCCTTTGAGGGTACAGGGTCATCAGCTGGCTCTCTGAGCTCCTTGGGATCCAGAGCCACTGAGCATGAAGAGGATTTTGACTATCTTAACGACTTGGGACCTCGGTTTAAAAGATTAGCATGCATGTTTGGTTCTGCAGTGCAACCAAACAATTAAGGCTTCCCAATATCAGCATGCAGTTTTATGGCACGTAAATAAAACATGTACATATATACAGGTAATAACAGGCTTTTGAGAGTACGGCCTACTCTGGCTTTCTGTCTGGTAGGAGCTCTGGTTTGTAGAACTCTAATCTTTTCCCAGTACACACCAGAAGTTATTTCCTGTTCAACACAGATATTGGAGGAATGCTGCCAATCAGATTTCATTTATCGCTGAAAGTCACCACTACACTCTCTCTGAGATGGTCTTCTAGAAGTTTTCCATGTAATATAATGCAGATTCTCAACAATTCTGAGGGGCAAAATGAGAAATGTATCAAATGAAGCATGCTTTTTTCCATCTATTCATTCTTTTACAAAGTAAGAATGAAGCTTCCATGTGTACCCAGTTCCTAATACTGTACAGAGATTAATTTTAACACTTAGGAGAAATCTGGGTAGGTTCATAAAGGCATACAGATATTTTCTTTATATGAATAAGCAGTTTTCTGATTGAGATTCTATGAATTATTTTATTTTGAAAAGTTTACCATGTTTGCAAGTGTTACTCTTTAGTATTCCAAATTTGGTCCTATTTAATATGCGAATTAATCACAGTTATATGGTAACTTCTGCCAGTTTGGTTATTCTGAGTTTGTTTGGAGAATGGGAACCAGAACATAATTTTAGGAGTGTCATCCCAGATTATTTTTTTAGCAACTCTAAATGCCCAACCTGTTCATGCAAAACTATAATAACCAAATACATGTCAGTATTTACTTGTGATTATATTATTATATAGTGTAGCTGATGAAATCTGCAGAAAATTTTGGTTTCTTCCAAAACTGAGATAGCTGAATGCCAGCACTACTGGATTCAAGGTTGAGATAGTATTTACCCATATTATATACATGCTATATATGTGTGATTATACCTACTCTGTCTCTTTGCTATTCATGCAAATAAAGCATGGTGCCAGGCTCTGCATTTCTTTTTAAGGTAGGAGCTTAGCATGTGACTGATTCCTCAGTGCAAGTTTTTATTGAATCTGAAATTAGAAGCAATTTGAACTTCTCATTATAGAATTATGGAGGAGTAAATGCTACATGGTAATTGGTAATAAAACATGGTATTTTTATTGACTTTTAAGATGTGTTTCTTATTATATCCAAATCAAGATGGAGTTCAAGTTTTATATTTCAATAGAAAATAATGCAGTGAGTACAACGCTCTTCAAATTGCTTTATGTGACCATTTTCATTGATAGTTTGTGACCATGAACCAAATTATGTATATTTATATAAAATATTTCAAATAATTTTGTATGTAATAGGGCAGTTGAGTCATTATATTTTTTGTATTTTGAAATATAAACATCATATCACATAATAAAAAAATCAATTTGGAATGAGAATTGTTTTGTTTTTGCCACCAATATTACCTATAAGACATGAAGCAGTCAGTCACATTTGAAACACAATAGTTAAGATAGTAAAAGTATATGAGACATTATAAGTCTTGATAGATCATTACATATTAAATGTGTTTGGGGGGGAGCATAAATCAGAAATGTTACCAAAACCACCCCAAAATAATTCATGTTTGCTTTAGAAGTTTACTATTCTATCATGTATTAGCCTTCTTACAAAGTACTACCTAATGTTAGAACATATATAAAATTCTTAGAAACATCAAAGAGCAGGCCAATCATTTTCTGTCCAAGATAGTCCCTGTCCCCACTACTATGGAGGCCACTTGGACACTGAACTACCATAGGTTACCTCTGTGCAAGGGTTCCAGGCCATCTCTATTAGGAGTCCTTGGTTGTAATATCAGTTTCAGAAAAGACACTTGTGCCCAGACTTTTTGGATCTGTGGCTGTCCTTGTGGAGCTCCTGTCCTCTCCAGGTCTTACTATTTCTCACTTCTTTTATAAGATTTCCCACACTCTGTCCAAAGTTTGGCTATGAGTCTCAGCATCTGCCTCCATACCCTGCAGGGTAGAGGCTTTCAGAGCCCCTCTGTGGTGGGCTCCTGTCCTGTTTCCTGTTTTCTCCCTCCTCTGATGTCCATCCTCTTTTCCTTTCTGAATGGGGATTGAACATCTTATCCAGAGTCCTTCTTAATTAGCTTCCTTGGTTGTACAGATTTACTATGTTTAGTATGTTTAGTATATATTATATGTCTAGTATCCACTTATGAGTGAGTATATACCCTGTGTGTCTTTCTGCTTCTGGGATACATCATTCAGGATGATCTTTTCCAGTTCCCACCATTTACCTGCAAATTTCAAGATTTCCTTGTTTATTATCTATGAGTACCTTTCCATTGTGTACATGTACCACAATATCTGTATCAATTCCTCAACTGAGGGGCATCTGGGTTGTTTCCAACTTTTGGATGTTAAAAATAAAATTTATACAAACAGGGGGGAGGAGCCTTACTAGGCCACAGAAGAACACAATGCAGCCACTTCTGATGAGACCTGGTAGACCAGGATCAGAAAAGGGAAGAAGGACCTTCCTTATCAGTGGACTGAGGAAGGGATATGGGTGGGGAAGAAGGAGAGAGGGTAGGATTGGGAGTGGAGGAGGGAGGGAGGTACAGGAGGGATACAAACTGAATAAACTGCAATTAATAAAAATAAAAATAATTTTAAAAATAAATGAAAAAAATAAAACAGCAATTCACTATAAACAACAAAAAATTTCTAGGAACAATAATGAACACTATTTGTAGTTCTTTATTTTCTCTTGAATCCTGAATGCTTCAAAAGTTCAGCTCTTTCCCATGTTAAACATATTACATGTGTTTTGTATATTTTTTAAAAAATGTCAATTAATATAGTCATGTTAATTTGTTAATTTATATGTTTAAACTTCATAATAGCCATCACTTCACAATTTTATATATAAGCTTCAAATTACCATATTGTAAAAGGAGCAACATTTAAAGTTACTGATAGAAGTCAAAGAATATAAGCAGTACTAATAGTGTCTCAGAACATTTTTGTGCTTGATATGAGTGTGAACTAAATTACTTCAATTGAAATAACCGAACTTTCTGATCCATCTAATCTTTTTGGACCTCAGTTTGTAATCTATAGAGCAAGGCTGATCTCCCTATTTCACATAATTATAATAGAGAATACATAATAAAATAAAAATTAAGAACAGGATGTAGAGTGTGACAAATGTATGGGTCAGTCAACGACAGAGCATTATGCTAGCATTTAATTTATATTTCCCTGAGGCTAACCTACTCTTCTTTTTCTGTCAAGGTGTAGTCTTCAAAGCTTCTTAACACCTATGATAATAATCAACTATGTTCTGAGAGACTCAGCATTTTTTATCCCTTCCTTACATGTTCATGTTCTCCCTTCTTTCTATCTGTGTTGAGTATCGTTATTTCATGTTATCTGTCACAGTCTTCAGAACCTTTCTCTTATCCCTCTCTCCTCACATTTTGTATCTCCTCAAGTAAAACGTCTTTAGGAAGACATCTCTGACTACTAATTTACTCCTAGTAGGGTCTGCTTTGGCTATTCTTAGAATTCACACCACCTAGCTACTTATAATTAACAATAATATAAAAGCATGTGTTTTATTCTTTCTCCTATTATTCAAATATAAGCCCTGCTGGGACAAACATAAGGAATTTTGTTCCTCTATATTTATCTTTAATGACTAAGTACAAAGAAAATGAGCAGTAAATATTCTTGTTAGAATTTAACAATGAATCCAAATGTATTTCTCCATGTGAAGAATTTCATTGTACATTAGGATATAATGCAGAATTAATGTGCTACTCAAAATAGTTCAATATAGTATACTTCTTTGATGTGAAGAGGTTTTTTTTATGACCTTGATACTTAAGTTTGGATTTATGGATGAAAAACGGGCCCATGAATATGGATAAATTTATACCATTGGCTTTAGATAATTTTTTGAATATCAATATAGACAGTTTTAGAAAAAAGTTTTCACGTTGTATCAAAAATAGGAAAATAAAAGCCACATACTACGGTCTTATTTTGCACTACAGAGCAAAGTTCATACCACATGCATACTGAGACCTCAGCGTGCCCCAATTTATATGAGTTAGCTCGAGTCTGGCATACCACACACAAAGTAAAGACTAATTACACAGATGAAAGCAGGGTAAATATAACATTTTGCATATTCTAATGTGGCTGTCTAGCTACCTATTGACAAAATAATTTGCAGGGAAAGAGCAAGTAGTAGGTAATGAATTTGGACTTTTAGAATTTTGGCTATGGTTTATTTAGGGAACTCTAAGTATAGCAGATGATAAGTCCTGCCATGTTGGGAGAAGGAAGGGCTTATTCCCAGTTCCTGAAAAGGCAATAAGGAGTGTGGATAAGTGGTAACTGTCCACCTTTAGAGATATTGCAAAATAGTGAAAGCTGAGGAAAAAAAATAAGTCGGTTATCCAAAGAATATTTCACATCTGTAAAGAACAACAACAAGTACTGGAGATGAGTCCCTGAAAACACTGTGAGTGCGCAGTGCATCCTGGGAAAGCCCAATTATAGGCTCATTGTCTTCACAGACGACAGCAGCAGTGGGATTTAGACAGTTCCAGCATCTTCATCGTGGCCTTAACTCTACTCTTTACATCTCATCCTGGACGTCAGAGGATACAGGCTAGGATCACTAGATAGGTACAGGATAAATGCTTTACCCTCAATAAAACATTAACATCTTCTATTACGTGGAATATTTTAAAACACCCAGAAGTTATCAGGCTTTCTAACTAATGTTTGATTCCTGTGGGCATCAGAGAGATCAATGTAAAAATGTCTACACATGAAAAAAAGAAAAACAAAACAAAACAAAACAAAACATTACATTGATGATTTAGTGCTAGATTGAAAACCTATAAAAAGTCTTTATATTAATATAAATAAATGTATATATACTATATTAAAATAACAATTTAAATTTCCATTTTCTAATTTAAAGCAAAAGCAAAAATCCAGACGAAATGCAATTTTAGTGTTCACAAAATATCTTAGATTAAGATCCAGGATGGCAGCAACGAACATGCACGGTATCTGAACTGCAGCGCAGCATTAAGAGTAGAGTGTCCAACAGGCCATACTGTGGACCCAAAACCCCATCATCAGTGTTTCTCAGGTGAGAGGAGAATCAGTGGGAAAATGCAAGGGTCCATCTTTAGGCCACCCGACTAATACAGAGAAAAATTATAGGGATCCCACCTGGCACTGACACAGCCCACAGCCCCACCCACCCAAGACCAAAATCTGGGGGGTACTTTCCTGGTACCAGGGGCTACCGGCCCCAACTTTTGGCACTCACTCTCACTGTCCTTGGAGTGAATAGCTTTGGGTATTGAGGGCGAGGTTCCAAACCTGGGTGCACACTCTCACCATCCTGTGGACACCTTCCGGGTACCAGCAGCTGGTGGCAGTCACTCTCACCATCCTGTGGAGTGGATAACCTCAGGTACTGGGGATAGGGAAGGTGGGTGCAACTCCATTCTGCCTGCTCCCCATCTGCCGGGCCCACTGAATCAGAAGCAGAAGCTGAATCAATGGAGCTGAGCTAGCTGCAGGA